AGCCTCTGGTGGTATGTTGCATCTTCTCAGCAATAATTAATGCCCCGGAGAGAGAATACAAAAGAACAAAGTTGTCAAAATCAAAAATTTAGGTTTAATGCCGCGGAGAGAGAATACAAAAGAACAAAGTTGTCAAAATCAAAAATTTAGGTAAAATTACCTTCCTTAGGTGAAATTAAGATTGTAAAATTGAATTAATAAAATTAAAAGTTTATTAAATTTAATATATAATATATAATAAATTATATATAATTAAAATTAAACAATAATTAATCAGATTTAGAATTGGAGATGATAAATTAAAATTTAAATATCTAATAACACACAAATAAAACAAAAGTCTATTTTAATATTAATCACTATACAAGTTGCAAATAAGATAAAATAATATAAAAATAGTTATTGTTTAAATTTAGAAAGACAAATTAAAATAAATCCCAAATACTAATCAAGATTAATGGATTTGAAGTCTCTCGAATTCTCTCTCCCATGTTTTTAATTAAGAATTTCAAATGGGCTTTAGGTCATCTAGCTGAAATTCAACAAAATTTAAGGTGAAATGACCCAATAGTTATTAAAAGTGGTCCAATTATTAAAAAATGGGTAAACTGGTGAGTTTATCAGATTTTATACTTTTTTATAATTTTACCTCAATTTCATTACAAGTTTATAAAATTACAGTTTTACAAACAATTTTATGCTAAATCTTAATCTAAAATTGTAAAATCTTACAATTTTATGATTAAAAATGTGATTTTGACAACACTGCTTAAGACAGTAAAATAGTTTTATCCATCCTCTGCACCTCGAAAAAATAAATGTCTCCCAAGTTTTTCCTATTTCCATGTTATCTTTATCGTTACTTGTAAGAAAATACTTGTAATAATGGTAAAGTCTCGGAAAAGAATCAAATTCTAACCAAAAAGACAAATGCTAAATCTTCTAACCAATTATGGTACAATATACTGGGGTTTTATCCCTGTTTTTCTACCCGCATATCTTTTATTCAAGATTGCAGCAAGCTACCATCGTGGCATGAGTATCCAGAAAGAGCCAGCCTTGCCCATTGTGTCGTGTACTGAAGAAAAAGAAATAACATTCACATTGTCCTATTAAAAATGTGTTCGTTAGAAAAAGTAAAAGGTGAAAGAGATAAAGACATAAAGTTCAACTTGCTTTATTCCTATATTCATGTAAAGGAATATCTAATATTAAAGTAGCAATGTGGTCGCAATTTGACACGTAAAGAATCTGTTTTGATATTCTTTGAGACCATGAATGAAGAAAGAAAATCGGGAAAGGAAGGCAGGATGATTATGCTGCATAATAGAATTTATTCAAAGCAAAAGTCTAAACATTGTCGGCTTAGGTTAAGGTTATAGGACAATTAGACTCCACATGGTAAGGGGATCCAAGATTAGAGTGCTTCAGAAGGAAGAATATGTGTTGTTTCATTAACTGTATAGTCCCTTGGTTGCTTAAGATGGCAGGATTTAATTTACAGATGCTCGTTATTGAGATCCAGGGCAGCTACGTTTCCGTTTGGGTGGCTAAAACAATGTAAGGGGGCAATGTCGTCAGTGGATTAAAGGCTATAAAAATTCTTTTTTTTTTCTTTTTTTTGTAAACAGTGAGTGTATTATTTGAAAATGTTAATTTGTAAATTAATTTTAATATATTAAATAATAAATATTAATAAGTTTATTTTTTATTTTAGTTTCACAATAAAATATATTTATTTTTTATTTCATTTCATTTATATATCATGTGATTTAAATTTAAAATTTTTTATTTTTAATAAAAAATTTATTATTAAATTATTTAATTATTAAATATATTAATAATTTTATTATTTATCAATTATTATAATTATTAACTATAATTTTTTGAACATAATTATTAACTATAATAAACAAATTAAATCAAACAAAATTAATATATAAAGAGACGTTGCTTAAAAATTTGTGTGGCCATAATTGGACCGACAATGTACCTACCATTTTTTAGTTTTTTAAACAGCAAACAAAAGAAATTTAGCGGAGCGGTTGGGTCTGCCCTTCTTTTTCAAAAAATTAAAAAAAAAACAAAAACAAAAACAAAAACAAAAGAAATTTATTATGTGGGACGAACCGACAAAGACCACCACGACCTGTCAATGTCAATTACGTTGCTGGAACAAATACGATCAATTACAAAGCGAACCGGTCAAAGACAAACCCTATTAACTAGCACAAAACAACTCAGACCCTTCATAGACAAATGATCTAACATTTGGTGTGCACCTTGAAAGGAGATTGTAATCTTCAACCCTTCATTACCCAAAATCCAAAAAATTTCAACATTACCACCGGATCATTTGAATAAACTAAACTTAAAACACAGTCCATGCACAAACAAAATCAATATACAGTGATTAAAGATAAGCACCTTGAAGCCAAACACAAGCAGTTTGAGTTCTCAAAATAGCTTTCTCTGTTTTATCAGGAAGTAGTAATTGCTGTTGCCGACGCATATATGTTCATGAATGTGCACAACCTCAGGATTTAGACCAACCAATAAGCCTTCATTCCAGCGAGACCCCCGGTGCTAAATTTGCTGCACATGGTTAAATCCTGTAGTTTGGTCGGAACATTACAAATAAATAGAGAACTAGTCCTAAAACAGAACAGTCTTTGCAGGGTGTGGTTACGACACTAATTCATTAATTCATTTGTTAAGGGCCACTAAAATTATATTTAATTTAATTAATATTTGTAGTTTTAAATATTAATTTATAAATTGATTTTAATTTATTATATAATAAATATTAATTGTTCTATCTGTTATTAACTTTTCTTAATAAAAAGTTAAGGAAAATAATTAGTATATATTCTATTTAAGACATTTTTTTATACTTATTTAATTCAATTATTAAAAATATAATATAAATACAATTGATTTAATTAGCTCTTATATTTAGTGTATATAGTTTTTTTTATATTAGGAAGTAATAATTTTTTGAAGAGTGTGTTCTATGTGATATTGAATTAAAATGTGTATCAATTAATATTTTTTTAAGATAATTTTAATAATTTTAATAAAGGATTTGTCTAACCTAAGGTGTAATAAATATACATTTTTACGATTAATTTACATAAAAATTAATAAAAGTTTATTTTTATTTTAGTGTTATTGTCACATGAATAATTTTAATTAGTTAATTAATTAAATTTAAATTAACTTTTATTAGTTTTTATATACATTAATTACAATAAGATACATTTATAGCATTCTTATCTTGTGCCCTTAAGGCATGGGATAGCAAATCCCTTTGATAAATAAGTTAATATTCAAAGAGTTGTGATTTAATTGGTAAAGAAATTTATTCTCTTAACAATTTAATTAAAATTTGATTCCTTAAAAGGATTAATAAAATGATAATTTCTTGTAAAAATTTTGTAATTGTATGTGAATAACTTACATTTAATTAAATTAAAAAATTAATTTTAAAATACATATAAATTAATATAAGAACATTTTAAATAAAATAAATAAATAAAAACAAATAAATTGGTGCTATAACTACACCGGGGTCTGCACTCTGCAGACTGCAAAGTACACTTTAAACCAACGATACCCCAGCCTGTGTGGCTATTTAATATTGGACTGGGCCCTGCCAATGTCCTTACTGTGAGGCTCATACTCATTGCCTAATAATTGCCCACTTTATTACTTGTCCTTTTGAAAATGAGCAATGGTAGGGGCACTCGCCTCCTGCACTCTCCGGCCAACACTTTCTCTTTTATTGGGCCACGTTATTTTGATTCCGTGAGGTTGGGCTGAAAGCTTTAAAGAAGCTTACGTGGCCCAATGAAAGGGGAAGTGTTGGCCGGAGAGTGCAAAAAGCGAGTGCCCCTAGCACTGCTCTTTGAAAATAAAGGTACTTTTTTTACGTAGGTTAAATATCTTTTTTAGTCCCTCTATTATAGGAAAAAGTCCATTTTTGGTCCCTGTATCGAAAAATCTCTTTTTTTGTCCTTACTGTTCACAAATCCAGTCCTTTTTTGGTCCTTCCGTTAATTTTTGCTCATGTGGCACGTTAACTTAACGGAAACAACTGATGTGGATATAATATAATGATACCCTCCACGTCACCCTCCACTTGCAGGAAACAGAAAAAGAAAAAGAAAAGGTTAAATATTAAATTTGATCCCTCAACTTTATAAGTTTGCATTTTTTTGATTCTTAGATTATTTTTTTTCACTTTTTTGATTTTTTAACTCTAAAAATTACACAATTTTGATTCTTTCATCAGTTAAACATGACGTGGCAATTAAATAATTCCATTTGACATTTTCTTTTAATTTTT